TAAAAATGTAAATTACAAAATGACTGTATTGATAAACATAAGTAAATAAGTTTTTTTTTTATCCTACCGACCCACAAACGCTTTAACGGTAGTGTAGTATGTACTGTATATGAACATATTGCCCCCCAAAGACAGATGTGGTATGGTAAGAGCCAACAACCAAGCAGAATTTTGACAACCTGCCGTATCTGATTTGACAAATGAACAAATACAGACAGCAGCAGTGAGGGGAAATGAGAAACAGATACAATAAGAGAAAGAATGAAAGAATACAATAATACAGCAGGTTTGTGCTGTATGTGCTCCAGATGAGGGGGCCAGACAATGTGGAAGGTGAATATTCATTATGTTTTTTTCATTATCATTTTTTTATAACGAAGTGATGTAAGCTGATTAACATATGCTGACCAATAATCAAGAATTGAGATCAAAACCCACCTGAAAAGTGAATTCCTTGCCAAAAAGTGAATTTCAGGCCAGACATTTTCCCCCATCCATATATTTATAGACATATCCTGGGAATAATAATACAAGGAATATAAATGATAGAAAATAAAATAGGAATAATACATGCTTTTAAGACAAGCTCTATAATGGCATCTCAATACCTCTTCATTAGATTAATAATTCTCATCATAGCAACAAAAGTAAGAGTTAAAAAAAACAAACAACCTTTCTTGGCCATTAGGCCTGGTTAAAACAAGACATTAGTGTAGGGCCAAGGGAAAAGTAAAGGGCAGAATGTGTGTTAAGACCTTACAACCTCCTGTAGTGAATCTCCCTGAAGGGACGTGAGTGGCTCTTACACAACAACTACTGGACCTTCAACTAGTGCATGAACATTGTCTCAGGATACATATGTTTGCCTTTCGACTGAACAAATGAAGGAACGAACGAACGAACCGAAGAACTAATGAAAATTAATGTATTTGTTCAATTCACACGGATGTCTTTATTCAAAATTAAACAACAAAAGCAATTATATTTTCTCTTATAAATGACATCATAGAATTGGCTGTGTAGCTTTAGCATTGTATCAGTGATATAAGGAGAATGAAAACCAGCAACTCTACTTAGCTTCATTCACAGCTGCACTCACAGATATCTAACACAATCTGTCCGCTCGCCTTAAGTAAGCGTGATATCTGCACTAAAATTTAAAAGCTATAGCTACATTTATTTTCTTAGACAGGTTGTTAGCTCAACATACATAATGCTAACATTTGTTTAGCTTAAAAGCAAATCCCTTTGACTGAGCACACAGGGCCTCACAGCTTGACAGGCAAGTCTAATGACTATGATGATTAATTGAAGCCCTAAGGACAGTTTTTTCAAGAAGGGGCCATTGAGTGTAACCTGCAGATCCTCACCCGGTACACAACCAGAATTCAACGAACTGTCATTTTCTTTTTCTTAGAGGCAATGCTGACAGCTTTTTTAGAATTCTGGTATTGAGAAATATAATTAAAAAAAAATTACACACACACACCTCACTTTATTAGTGAGGACATTGCATGTTCCATTGATTTTATCTGGTTAATGATATTTTCTATGGCCTAACCCAACCTCTACACCCTACCCTTACACCCATCACAGAAACATGCAAAATACTAGATTTTAATAAAAACATGTTTCTTTTTAACTATTGAGTTTCTGTATGTCCTCACAATTCAGTTGTCATAGTGTGTGTGTGTATTTGAAAAGAAATGAATACTTTTACTCAGCATGGACATTTTGATTTGATCAAAAGTGACAGTAACATTTGTAATGTTACTAAATATTTCTATTTCAAATAATAGTTTGTTCTTTTGAACTCTTTATTCATCGAAGAATCCTGAAACAAAATAGCACACCTGTTTTCAACATTGATATTAAGAAATAACAAATGTTTCTTGATTGACTAATTGAAATGGAAACACATTGTTTATGTCGTGCATCAACGAGACATCTCTCAGTTTAACAAGCGAAAAGTTTGGAATTTGTCTGGAAGACCATTTATATTTACTTGTCCCAAGATGTCTCTTTAAAAGATTAGCTATCAGACTATAGAAAATACAGTGGTTAGAAGTGTTTCCATATTGTAACACTTGTAAGTTAAATTGTCAAAACTGAACTGGATTTCATACTCCTTCCAGAGATGTTATCACAGAGTGGGGCTCTAAAAGGTCTCCATTTATTCAGCCCATCACCTCAGTCCAAAGATTACCAAAATGTTTACATGTTCATTATTCCTGAATTTCCGCTAATGGATCATTGACAATAACATAACACCACCACTAGCAAGGCCCTTTAGCTTAGTGCCAAACAGCTTCAAATAGACACACAATTACATCCTTCCCTGTTAGCGTGCCATGCTAACAGAAATTCAGTGTTCATTCAAATATTACGGTATTTTCCTTTATTACTACATGGCTGGAACAGTCTTTATATTTACGTTGGCAAAGACATCTACGACTCACAATTCCGTGACACCAGCATTTTGTGTAGATGGAGGAAATACAAAAGGAGGAAAAAAGAGAAAACAAAATCTCTGGCTGGTTGGCTTCTGATAAATGGAGGCCATCTGATGCTTGAGAGATATAAAAAGAGCCTAGTGAAGTACCTGCACCTGTCAAACCTTATTGTGTGAGCATAATTTAGTGCAAAGGTACATTGTAGGATGACTTTATATATTACTCAGAGCCAGCGATCAGAGTCATTCATCAGTCCGTGCTACCAAAGGAATAAACAAAGAGTTCTGTAGACCTTCTTCAAGACATATGATGCTCTCCACTGCCCTTGCGGGTTGGCAGAGATGGCCATATTCAAGACAGATGCCTGTTTCTTAGACGCCTAAGTGCTCCTATAAGGACAAAAACACACACACACACACACACCCAATCCAACTGGTGGGAGAGCAAGTGGGAGGGGAACCGAATTGTGGACTTATCTTAGAAATTAAATCAAATTGCAGTCCCAAGGACAAATGAATTCGCGGTAATGAGTGGGAGATTTCATGTACTCAAAGGAACAGGGTTTACGGGCACACTTTATGACCTTTTTCTCATTTCGAGTAAGTCAGGCAAAATAAAGGAATATGTTTCCTAAATATTTAGTGTACACATAAATAATATTATGTGCAATAAATACAAATGCATATGTAGATCACCTGTATATGTAACACCCTTAAACACAAATGCTTCAGTGTTTTTAAAATACATAGATAAAATGCATGTACATTTAACACAAACCTGTCTTTCGCTTGTTATTATGATTGTCTGCAGTTCTGCGCTAAACCATTAATACTGCCGGGTCTTTCGTTCTAATAAAAATAATAAAATAAAGGTAAATAAAAATTCTTTTGTCTAGATTTCTGTTCTCTGTCTGAGCTGATGTGGGCAAAAAAAGCCAATCTCTCCAATTTGAATCTGCTTGAGAAATGCGAGTAATTTTTTTCCTCCGTGTCTAGCTAATAGCAGTATTACATCCTTTCAGAGACAGGGAGAAGTGATACAGTGAAAACTGTAATTAAAATGTCTAATTGGCATATTTCATAGAATGAAGTAAATTACCAGAGCCTCAGCAAATAATTGAAAAACAAAGCAATTACCTTCCGTGGGCCCCATTCACTAAGATAATTGCAGGGGAATGACTCCAGCATATGAAAACAGGATCATTCTGCCTGCCTCCCTATGGAGCACTGCAGTGCTCACATCTACCTTTCCACTCATAAGAGTAATTTCCACTGCTTGATTATTCATAATTGTCACGAACACTTTATTTAGAGGGCAATTTACAGTATTCCTACAACTATATGTCTAGTGCATATGGCACATTTATGACTTGCTATAGCATGAAGATTTCTTTTGCTATTTACTGCCTACTGTGCTAGTTTTTCAAAAACGCAAATATATTAGATTAAAAACTGGTAATATGTGGCTTTGCATGAAACATTTAATTAAAGGGATAGTTCACAACGAAAATTCTGTAATCATTAACTTACTCTCAATTATCATTTCAATATGGAATAATGACTTAAATTTTGGTTCATTCAGCTGTCACATGACTTCAGACTACTTGAAATATTGCATAATATGGACATTTTTTTATTTTATAATTTGGGAGTTTATCTGCCCCATGCCTTCATTCACTTTATATTCATGGGAATAAAATGTAAATTCGACCTAAAACCTCTTTTGTAGAGACCTATTCCTATAACTTCTAGAGTTCTAGACTAAGGGGCATGAGACAACAATGACAACAATATTTTGGGGTACTGAAAATGCAAACTTTTAAAAATGTATTTCAGAGTGCAAGTTTCTGAAATATCGATACCATTATCGAGTTTGTGAAAACAATTATGTAATGTCTACATGCATATTACATGTTCAGTCTATAGGCCTCTTTTGTTTTCTATACAAAGTGACCTTGCATGCATAATACAGCATTTTTATTGGAAAAAGGAAAAACGTTTCCTGTTTTAGTACATCATTTTCGTGTAAACGTACCCTAAATGTTTGGGGTCAGTAAGATTTTTTTTTTTTTTTTTTTTTAAAGAAATTAATTTTTTTTGTAATAAATGTTGTTCTTTTGAATTTACTTTTCTTTAAAGAATTCTGAAAAAAAATAGCACAACTGTTTTCAAGATAATAATAAGAAATGTTTCTCGAGCACCAAATCAGCTTATTAGAATGATTTCTAAGGATCATATGACACTCAAATTTTAGCCTTCCCTTTACAGGAATAAAGCATTGTTTATAGTTTAAAATATACCATTTAAATAACGTTTTTCATTTTTTTTTACTGTATTTTTGATCAAATAAATGCAGCCTTGGAGATTTAGACTCAAATACATAAAAAATATCTTACCGACCCTAAACTTTTGAATTGCAGTTGTACTTGTACAGAAATGCTTTCAGGGTTCATTACTCCTCTAAGAGGGTATGGATGTTTTGCATCACTTTGTGCCTTTCGATACCTTGCTTGATCTTTGGCCTCTTGTGTTTTTCAAATAAGGGTAGGTAACCACTCACAAGGAGCCGGTGGAAGAGTTCTCATAGATCTCATCCCTCATCCTGCTGACATCTCCAGCATGGTCATCCTTCTTTAAGATGTTCTTTGTACCACCACTCTACCATGACGAAGGTTGCGGCAAAACCTCATGGAGGATTCACATGGATGTAATTGGGCATTGCAGGGCCAACTTCACACTTGGTTACAATGGCAGAATGTTGGGATAGGATATGCTCCAATCCACTTAGGAAAAGTGGAGACAAGGCTGGAATGCCAGGTATGTCTTTTTTGTTGTGCACTGTGGGCCTGCTGTCGCCGGGGAAAAAAGACAAAATGTAACTATTAGGTTACAGTTTGGTCTGATGCGTATTTAGCACGAAACATGACACTCATTACAGAATTGTTCTCTGTGTGGGTTATGAAAAACAGTCAATGAGGTCTCAGTCTCATTCACACTGTGAAATTGAATTCCTTTAGATGTGTGGAATTAAAAGAATCGTTCAACCAAAAATTCTGGCATCATTTACTCACCCTCATGTTGTTCCAAACCTTTATGACTTTCTTTATTCTGTGGTACACAACACACTCTAAAAAATGCTTGGTTGTTTTAACCTAATTTTGGGTAAAATATGGACAAACCCAGCCATTGGGTTAAAACTGTATTTAAAAATGTTACCCAATGGCGGGGGTTTGTCCATATTTTACCCAAAATTGGGTTAAAACAACCCAGCATTTTTTAAAATGAGACATTTTTTGAAGAATGTTTTAGTTGACTGAATAAGAATTTTTTTTTTTTTCCCCAAAAAATATCTTCTTTTATGTTTTGGACTTTTGCACATAATCCAGCCTACAAACCTAACCCTACCAAACATGAAACGAAATGTGAAACATATATTCTGTTGATGCTTTATTTGCTGAAACACAAATAGGCAACCACCAGGCAAGTCTTGACCATGGAAACTGTATTACTTAACAGAGGACTGAATGAAGCCATCATCTTAGCACAAACCCTCTGCCGTTATCTTTTGCTTTGGCCAAACAAAAGAAAAGAAGACAAGATAGCCACTGCCCAGGGCAAGTATAAGGTTGCATGGAGCATGAAAGACGCTTGCTGTTGCCTGGGAGTAACGCTGCGAGGGATTACCCCTTTCTAATTCTTCTCCAGCTCCCTCATACACTCACTCGCTCTCTTCCACAGAAGACAAGGAGGCCAGCCTGACTATTTCTGACACGCGACAAGCGATGGCCTGTCATGTTAATGTACTGCTCCGGGCTCTCGTGTAGCTAAAAGTTTTCATTTCTCAACATGTAGTTTCTCCTCAGTTGCTGTCACTTTAAGGGCCATTTAAAAGTTGAACAATAAAAATGCTACACATAAGAAGTTAAAGGTCACATAGACCATCTATGAAATATTCATCTAATTATTTGATAAGCATCTGATGTCTTTTAGTTGTTTTGCAGGATTTTAGTCTGCCAGTTTGGAAATGATCACACTTCAACCTTGCTTTCTATTGTAGATCAGATACCCCTTTTCCACCAAAGCATTTTGAGAGCCGGTTCAGAGCCGGTGCCTGCGCGCGAACCGGTTCTTTGTGTTTCGACAGCCAAAGAACCGGTTCTCGGCCAGGAAAACTGCACCAACTCAAAGCGGCACCAACTCTTTGCTGGACTAGAACCGTTCTTTTACCACGTCATGCTTACGTCGGGGGCTAGATGTGTTCTAAACATCTTTTCTGACCATAATAAAGGATCACAAAGCCAGAAGAAACATTTGCAGAAACATGATGGAGTCCGCCTTTGTAATTGTTATGCTTGAAGTTGGCGTAAGCGTTTCTATTTTTATTTTTACTGAAAACATTATAAGCAAAGAAGAAAACAGTCACATTATAGAACAAATAAATGGAAAGAAAAAAAGACACAAGACAGGGGTACATAACTAATCAGAAAAGATTACATAACAAAAGAAAAGATTAAAAGACGTCCATATTTCAATTGTTTTTACAGCCTTCTTGGTACACGAGTTAGAGATAATCCGAAAGTAATGTTGTACTTGCAAGCGTTTCTAGCTAAGACGTATGGCGACGTACACAGTGATGTAACGACGTCGTTCCCTGGGCGCTCTAGTCAGTGGAAAAACAAACAGGTTCTGAAAGTTGAACCAACTCTGAACCAGCACCAGTTTCGAACCAGTTCTTTTTTTAGTGGAAAAGGTGTAAGAGGTTCTCAACCAGGGAGCTGGGACCCACTAGGGGGCCTCAAGATGATGTAAAATGATTTAAAATAAAACCAGAATAAGCTAATACCAAGATATTTTACACTAGTGTGAATTCTAGACCTGGAAAAGTCATATCACCTAAATTAGCAAAACACTACTTTATGGAAATGTTTATACATTTTCCACTCCATATATGCCAAGCCTTAATATATTTCATCAGGTAGAATTTGGGAGTACAAATAATTGATGTGAACAACTGGAAAAGTCATATGGCCTTCGAATATTGTTGTGGACAATGGGGATTCCTGGCTCCAGTGGTTGAGAACCAACATTCTAGGTGAATGCATTGATTGAGGACATTTATCCATTATATGCATTGAATATCAATTCATCACATGCATATACTATAATTTTGTATTGCCTAAATTCATTCGTAGACTTTAAAACAACTGATTTTAGTTTTTAATGTTTCCCTTTTTAATGTATTTAGACAAAATAGGGTTTTTAATTTGGCCATTTAGTGGTTATTGCCCATAACAAGAAAATGTCAGTAGGCCTAAGTAGGCTTATTTGTAACAGCCAGAACTCTTAAGTATCAATGCATCTCCAAGTACACTTATTAATGAAACATAGCAAAGGACCTTTGAATTTCTATCATTATGTCCAGCACACACTGGACAAGGAGGGGTGGTCTCTTCAGCATCACCTTGCAGGCAGATCATCCCGTAACGCAGACAGCCACTCAAACCGAAACAGCTTTTGAGAAGATCTCGGCGCCACACAACAAACAAACCACTCCCTCAGCCTGATACATCTGCACTCTTTCTGCTCCTCCCTGTCTGTCAGAGCTCAGCAAAAACCCTATTTACTACACCCACAAATCCCCGCTAATCTGATGAAGAAAGAAGATTTGCTTTCCATTTGATGTAACATATCAGTTTGATTCAGCATTTGGTACAAAATTAGAGACGGCTCTGAGAAGGTTGAATGAATGAGTCATGTTTATGACAGTGCAACACTATAGTTATGGTGGAAAAAAAAAACAAGAAAGTGATAGACAAATCAGTGGTCTTGATGATAATTGAATACTTAGGAGTCATTAAACTAAGATATGAATATGTATTAAGGACATCATTTTATATTTTATCAATACAGCTGAAATTTGCATCGATAATATGTTATGAATATTCACGTTTCATTTTTGGCATGCACGATGTGACAGCATCAATGCACTAATATTCGAGGGCTGAATGAATCAATTCTTCACATCAGAACTGTACTTCTAATGACAGAGACAAACACAGCACAGTAATTCAGAAAAAAAGAGGATTGAAGAACAGTATGTGCAATTTGGCCATCATTAAAAATATGCTATTAAATGACAATGACTATTGATAAAATATCTAAAAAAAACAAATCCAGTATGCTCAGAAGTTCTAATAGATAATTCAAGGCACACTTCCAGTTCACATAGTTATAAAAGCCTTCATTAAACTGGCTGTTCTTTTCCATCAAATCATTTAAAAAAGAAAACAAATAATGGTACCCTGAAGAAGGCATTCTTTTCCCAAACATGTGGATGTGCAGCCCATAATTTGTTTTCTTTTTTAAAATGTTTTCCTTTTTTAAAAATAAGGCACTTTAATACAGGCTTTTTAACTACTTGAATTTGACATGTGCCTCGGATTATCTATTTCGGATCATGCAACATCTAGCTTGAGTTAAAAGTGTAATTCCTCGTGAGTTAAAAATGAGTCATTTTTGACTCATCTAAAAGGTTTTACACATTTTTGATAATTATAACTAAAATGATGTTTGTCCATGAGACTCAGTAGCCTAAAAAGGCTGTTTAATTGTATATAAAGCAGATTGCCAGGAGCTACCATGTTGAGATCACATGATTAGGTCTGGTTACTAATATTTTCGAATACTATTGTCAGTAAAATACTACTCAGCTACTCATTGTAAGTTTACTTATATAGTATTTCTGCATGGTTCATGGAGACATGAAACAAACAAACAAACAAACAGCTCTAGTATAAATAAACTTCACGCATCCACACCCATTGGTGGTACTATAAAATCTAAAACCACTGGGCCAAAGAAGAGCCTTGGCATATACAGTAACTTAATAATAATAAACTTATTACAGACGTCTGAACATAATCGCTGTTGGTGCATCAAACTTGCTTTTCCATGCTGTTGTGTACGAAATGCCTTTAAGAGCATTGAAAATTGCCGTCAGCCATATAGCCATGCAAAGATCCAGCCAAGGGACAAAACAAGAGGAGGTGGGAATCATCACATATAATCGTCTCTGACACATCATCACCTTCATTATGCCACCCAGTCCGACCGAAGCCGAGGCGAAAAGGTTTGTGGTGCTGGTGCTGAGTTTAGGCAGTAGTCCTGTGCACAGACCCAGGAACACCATCTGTCACTCTGGTGTCAAGTGGCACTTGTCTTCAGTGATTAGCATTGCTGCTTCAGGTAGGACATGACTAAGGCAACCATATGGTCTGTGGCTCTGTGTGACCATAGTGACCCAGATGAGAACTTCACCCCTCTGGCTTCTCAATGATGACACGGGGAGTGGACAGACTCACGTGTGAGCCGTTCATTCTGACAATTCAGGTGAAATTAAATAGAAACAAAAGACCTTGATAAGGCCGTCTGGAGACGTCTTGAGCAAAAAAGGAGCAGATTAAGCCCTTGACTTCAAGAAAAGTATCTCTGACACCATATTCAAAGCTGAGAGGTTTTCACTACCTATAAGGCATTAATAGCACTTCTGTTAATTATAATTAGTTATTCACAGTAAAATGGCCAAAACACACGACACGTTTCTGTCTAAGAGTTTGCCGGCTCTTAATTACATTCATCAAAACATTTTTACCTTGAGTAACAAATAAAAATGACCTAAAGCCAAGGTCTCCATGGTGGGCAGTGAGTGAAACGGCTTTCACGTCTTTCCGGCTCGGATATAAATATGGCTGACAGCCAGTACATTGCGACTACTCTGAAATAGTGTGAATATTATTGCTATCCACAAAGTGCAGAACGCTGGAGCTTCTGATGCATTTATAAGATAAAAACAGCTGCTTTTAATGGAACACTAAAATAAAATAAAAGGAAATAAAGTTTACAAATTGCAGTAATGCCATAGAACAACTATTAGGTTCCCCAAACAACCTTGCAGTACACAGTTTTTTTTATTTCTTTGTGTAATGAACATTATAATAATCTAATCTTTTCCACTATGAAGAAGCTTTTATGCAATG